AGTAAGAAAAATAAATGTGTGTAATGCACAGCTACTTGCAACGTGTATGGCAAGGTATATGATCATCCCATGTAACCTTCAACAATACACAGGAAATGACTTTCATGGGTATAAAAAAGTAGAGGGACTACGGGGTTTGAAACAATATTCATGTTCTGTGTGTTGGGCTGATTCGAAGACAATGGAACATCTGTTCCTGGATTGTCCTGTCGCTCGTGCCATTTGAGACCATTCTGGGTTAGAGTATTTTGGCCAATGTTTGCCTCGTCATACGTTCTATTATACATCAACCTTTACAGTTTATGACGATGATTGCCGTCCTTTTGAGGATATGGAAATCTCGAAACTGGGTTATCTTTGAAGGTAAATAGTTCGGGATCCCCGCCTTAATAAGGTAGTATAACCAGCATGTTGAGGAATGGATCCGTCTACCGGTTGATAGGGCTGGGATTCGGTTTCCCGGTTAACGGTTTAATCGGTAACTGCGGTTGGTTACCGATTAAACCGTTAACCGGGTGGTAACAGTTGTCGGAATGGGAATTTGGGACGGCGGTATACCGACACCCGGAAGCTAACTAACCGACGGAAAGCCGATTTTCCGATACCGGAATTGCAGGACGCAGTGCGGCAATAGTGCTCTCTCATTTACAAACTTGCAATTGGTTCTCTATTAGGAAAAGGAAGTAGTAATTACAGATTAATAATTCCCCTCCCCTCTCTCGCAGTCTTGCTCTCTGCCTGCCTAACTCAGCCGCCAATCCTCACGATCACGAGTCCCGCCGCCCAATTGGAACTCCAATCGACAATCGATGTTCTCTCCGACACCAGCGCACTCAGATGGACGAACCGTAACATAGCAGCCCACTCCAGCACCGCAACCTCTCTGTCGAACCCGCGCCGAGTCCTCTCCGTCGACCCCAGTGCTCGACCGCATCGCCGACACCAGTGCGACTTCCCCGTCAGTTTCTTTTGACGGTGCACTCTCCGTCAGTTTCAGGTTTGTTGTCATGTTCCCTCGCTGCAACAGCTATTGTTGTCTATTGGTTTTTTACTTTGTTTGTTTAATTTAATTACACTGCCGGTGCGTGCAGCTTCCCCCGCCGCATAAGCTATTTTTAAGTTTTGATTGGAACAACTTAACCTGGACCTGGACGTGTTGTTGTGAAGAAGAAGACAATGTTTGTCATCATCAGGTGACTTTCATAGTTCCATTAATCCATTGACCATTGGATATTAAGTTAATAATCGGGTCCCCGCTCAATTCCCCACCATTTGTCATCATCACCATTCACCTGTCCGGCTGTCCCCATTGGCCAGGCTATTCACATTTGGTAATCGGGGTACCGAAATAATAACCGCCACCGAAAGGATTCGGTAATCGGTATACCGACGTCAATACGGTATCGAAAACCAGTGGGGCTGCTCAGCTTTCCGGTGTACCGGAAACCGGTCAGTCGGTAACCGGTTTAACCATTTACCAACCGTTTACCACCCCTACCGGTTGACCAACCCATCTCCCTGTCCAGTACGCTGCCTCCCCCTTTGGAACCAGATGGGCCAAGTGTGCCTGTGTGTATGTGGGATGGGGCAGTAAGGAATGAGTCTCATTCAGCAGGAGGGATGGTTATCCTCAATCCCGCTAGGGAGGTCTTTTGAGCAACGGGGGTCCAGTTTCCTCTTATTGATGATCCAATGGTGGTGGAGTTACTTGTCCTCCGGGTGGCTGTCAGTTGATGTTTGGGGCAGGGCTTTTCGGGGATGAGATTTGAAAGAATTGCCAAAGTGTTCATTGATAGAATCAGTCGAAAAGATGCGCGAGATAATCAGACGGGGACGATTCTAGAAGAGATTGTGCAGACTTTCGCTTTGAATACGGGCTTCAGTGTGCGATTTGTAGGTCGAAATAGCAATAGGGTAGCTCATTTGGTAGCTAGCAAGGCCTGTCTTTGTACCCGACTACGTGTCGCTTCTTTGATTTTCAGGCCAGGCTGAATTCCAGGATGTAACTATCTTTTTGTTCCAATCAATATATGATTACCTTTTGTAAAAAAAAAAAAATATTCATGTCATGTAGTTTTAGCATTGATGGGAAAGTGGTCAAAATTAGAAAAGAGGTAGTGAGTTGTGACATTCTTAACAAAGATATTCAATTATTCATAGGAGCCTATGGACCGTCATATGATTGGACATATAATTATTTATCTGGTTGAGTTTATCACAATGCCTTATCTAGGGTACTTGCAATTTTACTCAATCCTTTCTTCGAAGACATCTCTGCAATGAGCCTATTGAGCTGGATTCAAACTCAAACCACGAAATTGTCAATTTTAAGAGCTTGGATCCCTGGTTCCTAGTGTCTCAAAAAACCTATATTATCCATTTGATGTCAAGGGCCTCCCTCAAAGACTCAATTGTAAATTGACACCAAAGGTAATTGAAAAAGAACAAGTCGATCCTCAAGCTGGGAAATCTTGATCTCCCCGTCTCTCCCCCACAACCAGTTTGCTCAAAATCTCAAAGAACTCATCGACGCAGGAGCAATCATAGGTTGACCAACTAAAATGTTTTTCCATCGCTCAACTCTCTCCTCTCTCCTCAACTATCTCATTCGGGATTCAAAGCGAGCCATTAACCATCTTCGGCTCCACAAACACCAACCTACTATCCTTTGCAACCGAGAATATAGAATCCCAAGTGCAATCGCCATCGGCAGCGTCCCGCAAAACTCCGCAGGCTGCCATCACGAAATTCGATAAGGAATCAGAGATGAGAGAGATTAACATAGTATTTTGAATAAGTTTAATAACATTAAAATACTTATATATGGATTAAACCTAATTATCTTTAATGTAGATTGTAGTGTTAAAAAAAAATCTCTTTTATGATTTCTTATTGCACTTTTTATTTTTCTTTTAAAATTCTTGGCTCCCTACCTGGCCCTAGAATTGATATTTTGATTCCCCTCAAGGTTTGACAATTAACCTGCTATAATTTAACAACACCTATCAGTGTGTTACAAAGCCTGATAACAGGTCCATTTTACATGTGTGGGATAAATGTATTGTGAGCCTGGTTCTCCTCAACAGTTGTACAATTCCAAGGCCCAAAACCGTGGCCCAGAGCCTGAGCCACCTCGTTCCCCTTGCTGACATCGCCCACCAACCGTTCCTCCACTACCTTAAAGATTTTTCGGCTCCAGGTAGGGTTGCAACTTGCAATTGCAAGGAGCAAACTCTAGAGTTTTGTGTATTTTTTCTTCATTTCAAAATTTCTTCAACGAAAGTGAAAGTAGGAAAGATATTTTAGTGATTATGATTTTTTATTAATTTCAAATTTTCTACAACGAGAATGAAAGTAGAAAAAATATTTTAGTGATTAACGATTCTTTATTAATTCATATAAAAAATATATAAATATCAAGATTTGAACCATGATCTCTTCAAACAAAGGCAACAAGCATAACCAATTACACTAAACAAAGTTATTCTACCTTTTTGAATACAACCATAGACAAAGTTAAACTCTGGAAACCGGAGGACTTTTCCATCATGATTAGCTAGCCCACTAAGTGTCCTGTAAGTATTTTTATAGTACTTGATACATCGATTTTCATAGTAGAGTTTCATGTAACTTTCTCCATTTTAAAATTTCTACTTTGTCCTTACTTTTTGATAAGACTAAATTGGTAATTGGCTAACATGAAAGAAACGATTTCTTTTACTATGTGTTGAGTCCTCGCAGTTTTTCAATTAAAATTTTTTTTTGCGTTATTTTTTTATCTTTGTTCTTATCCCTTCCTAAGCTCCTCTGAAACTCCCTCTATTGTGCAATAGTTTGCTCCCTTTCACTTCCCAGTACTAGGCCGTCTATGAAAATCAATCTTCTGATATCTCTTAGAACTACGGTTTTATTGTTGGGGAAGCTAGAAAAGTAGAAGATTTCAACTCCGATACAAGTCCATGGCGAATAGAATGGAGTTCAATCATGTAGTTAGGGTCTGGCCTATCTCGCTTGTTTCCTCTGCACTCGCATTGGCTAATGGTTCTATCTCTCCTATATCGATGAACTAATAGAAGAACTATTTTATTGCTTCTATTGCTGAAGACAATGTTTGATCAGTTATATCTTCCTCCTTTATTCCTCTTCCTATACCAGACTTTGAACTTGAATGGTTTTTTGGTATTTGCCCAATGTTAATCGCTTCACATATGTAAGCCATTCATTTCTTCTCTTTGTCTTATGATTTTATCTTTCTGCAGATTAATAACAAAATAACTTTTATTTTCATGTTGTCTCGTGAGCAGAACATGCAGAAGATCTATTTCTTTTGATTTTATTGTCTAATATGATGTTTAAGGGGGGTCTTCATTATCATTATGAATGGAATTAAGGATACTCTTTTATATTTTATATTCGTAAATGATGATGATATTTATTCAAATGTTCGACCTATACATTCATTCTTTATGTATCATCTCGATTAAAGGATTGCCAATGAAATCAAACGGACTGATAAATTTAAACATAACAGAAAAATATAAATACTTAACTACGAACATTCCGGCCAACGGATCGGGTTATAAGCTAGATTTTTGGAGTGTAAGTTTGTCTCTCGATTGGCCATTCGTTTTACTTGCTCCCAACATTTTCAACTCTCAATTACGGAATGGGTATTTTATTTTTCTTGTTTTCTCAACTACGTTATAAAGTTTATGAACTAAATGATATGATACTCGATCTCAAGTCGATATCGTGAGCTGATTGACCAACCAAACTTGAGTCAAACACAAACTATTATTTTAATAAATAAACTGAGCTCGAACTTGATTTATTTATTAACGAACTGAAATCAAACTAACCAATCAAATTTGAGTTAAACACAAACTATTATTTTAATAAATAAGCTGATCTCGAACTTGATTTATTTATTAACAAACTGAAATCAAACTAAATAAAAACTCGACACAACTCCTTTATAGCATGTCTATTGTCTAATTACCCACCTGCTTTCACTCAATTCCTTGTTGCTGCAGCTTGCGAATGAGAGCTTGACAATCACTTCCACGTAGTCCCATCCAAAAAGCTTTTGCCTCCCCCACACATCCTTTGAGCGAAACCCAGGCGAAAATTTCCCCTCCAATCCCTGACCACGCCCCACAGACCAATTCCCACTGGTTTTCAAAAGACCCGAAGCGGTCTTGAGCTTAAAGAAACCACCAGGTGGTCTAATCCACCCTTGGTCAATCTGATTCCCCTCAGGGTCGGAGCTGGAAATCCAACTACAGTACAGATGAGAGGAAGTTGTTTCGTAGCCCCTCCTCTACTGAAACCATGGTGCTGCTGCCTCGTCTTATTCCTTTCCCCATTTGCAGCAGCTCAGTCCATCCACGCAGAGGCTTACCGAAATGAACTTATTAGCCTAGCCAAAGAGCAGAAGGAGTGGTTGGTGTCGGTCCGGAGGCAAATCCACGAGAACCCAGAACTCCGATTCGAAGAACACAACACCAGTGCCCTGATTCGCAGGGAGCTCGACGCACTTGGCATACGTTACGCTTACCCAGTTGCCAAAACTGGAGTTGTTGCGGAAATCGGCTCTGGTTCGCCCCCTGTTGTGGCTCTTCGTGCCGATATGGACGCCCTTCCTTTGCAAGTGAGTAGACACTCATTTTTCATCCCTTTCAGTTCCTACAATAAAAAAAAAATGAATGATCAGTTCCTGAGTTCTTATGGTTTTGGCTATTGGGTCTTCCGTGGTTGAACGAGCGAGCTTAGGAGCTGGTTGAGTGGGAGCACAAGAGCAAGATTGATGGGAAAATGCATGGCTGCGGCCACGATGCCCATACCACGATGCTACTAGGTGCTGCCAAGTTGCTTAATCAACGGAAGCATCTGCTCAAGGTGTTTGATTTTTCCAAACTGTAGCTGATTATAGATATATCATACACTTGTACCAGTTTAGGTCATGGGTACTTGTAGGATCAAGTAGATTGTTGATGCTTATGATATACCCGTGTACTGGCTCTAAAGGGAACTGTGAGACTTCTTTTCCAACCTGCTGAGGAGGGAGGGGCTGGTGCATTGCATATGATACAAGAGGGGGCCCTTGGTGATGCTGGAGCCATTTTTGGAATGCATATCGACTGTGAGACGCCTACTGGAATGATTAATTCCCTTCCAGGATCCATCTTAGCTGCTGTTTCCTTCTTTGAAGTTAAGATAGACGGTAAAGGTGGTCATGCAGCAGACCCTCACACTAATATAGACCCTATAGTTGCAACATCCTTCACAATTCTGGCACTGCAACAACTCATATCAAGAGAAGCTGACCCCCTTGGTAGTCAAGTATGTTTCTGTTTCCTTATGCATCTATATCTATGTATTCGCTCAAATTGTGCTACAAAGGATGGCGTCAAGTTGCTTGTTGATGCGCTTGTCAAGTATGTTTTCCCCTTTATCATTATTTTTCTTGGATACTTCAATTTGGGCATGGATTATTTGTTGATTGATGATGTTTCTTACATGAAACTGACTGTGCCTTTTCAAGAGCTAAGCAAGCTTTTTGGGTTGAACAAAATTTGCACCTGCACTTTGTTTTGTCCATTAGGAGACTTGAGATACTAACATATTCAGCGTTTAAGTAACAAAAGAAAGTGAGTGATTTCTCTGGGACAAGAATGATTGTTCATAGTATCAGTTATGTTGTTCAAGATGTTCTCTGCTCGGTTCTAAATGTTTTCTTTTCGCAATGTTGTTAACTTTGTTTACGGGTTGGTCATGGTTGACCAGGTATTGTCCCTTTTGCTTCAAGGAATGGATTGTTTTCTATTATCATATTTCATCAACGACTAAAATTTATCTGCTTCCAGCCTCTTGACATGTTTATTGAGTCTGTTTGTTTCCTTGGACCATATGCAGTAGTTGTTTAGGCAAGAAACTTGCAGTGTCCACTGTCATCTTAACCGGCTAATGCTGGTGGCACTTGTTCATTTTTCATGGTGAAGGTGCTCTCTGTTACTTATGTCAGAGGTGGGGAGGCCTTGAACGTGATTCCTCCATATGTAGTTTTCGGAGGTACTTTGAGGAGTCTTTCCACCGAAGGCTTGCATCGACTCCAGACTAGGCTGAAAGAGGTAAGGCAACGTTACGAGTGTATTGCTTTTAATAATGTTGAAGTCAGACCCGACTGGATTCAGTCCTTTTTGCTTGCACCAGCTATGTATATAGGCTATAAACAGGTATATCTGAAACGATTTGCTTTGCCTTTTGAGTCTTGGGGTTTACTTGCACAATGTACAGGTGGTTGAAGGGCAAGCTCGGGTTCACAGATGCAAAGCACACATTGACATGAAATATGAGGACTACCCACCATATCCAGCAGTAGTGAATGACGAGAGGCTGAACGAGCACGTGCAGAGGGTAGGCAAGCTTCTTCTTGGTGCGGAAAATGTTAAGATTGGTAAGAAAGTGCTGGCAGGTGAGGACTTTGCCTTTTACCAAGAACTCATTCCAGGAGTGATGCTCAGCATAGGCATCAGAAATGAGCAACTGGGTTCAGTTCACTCTCCACACTCTCCCCACTTCTTTCTCGATGAGGATGTTCTCCCGATTGGGGCCGCTTTGCATACAGCTCTCGCTGAGACGTACCTCGATGGACGATCATCATGTATGCAGTAATCATCAGTGCTAAAACATACATTACTATGATAATCCCGCAGCAGCAGCAGCAGCGCTAAAACACCTACTTCTGCGTGGCCTGCTGGACTACCAGTTTGATGTAGGAAGAAAATGTATCTTTCCTCCGGTGTACAAAACAGTGTAAATCATGCAGTTTGATATATTGACTTATTTTTCGTTTTGCTTTATGGAAATGGCTATTGGCTATGAGGGCTCACGAGTTGTTAGTCCATTTTACTTTCAATTTTGACGCACGCAAAGGAAACTTAGAGATCAGAGCTGGGTTTTCTTCTTCTTCCATACGGCCTTGATAGGAAAATTGTAAAAACTATGATTCCGAAGTGGTGGTCAACCAAATCCGTCAAGGCGTCATTGAAGACTCGATTGGAGGTCCGGTGCTATGAGAGTGTCTTCAGATCCTTAGGTCTTTGTCTGTTTGTATAGAGTTTAGGGCGGTATCTAGATCCGCCAATAGTGCTGCCCATAGAGTGGCGCGTAAAGCACTGCTTTTGTCTCGCGTAGAGCTAGAATCTTTTGATTTTTTGGGTGACTTCTTTAGATTCTGTTAGGGGTCCTGGATAGAATTGTAAATTTAACTATTTTCTTTCATTGATATTACTCAGAAATATAAAAAGATGTTGCCGTCTAAACTCTAAAGCGTCTAGAGATAAATGATAGATTTAGGTCGTAATGATAGATTTAGGGGGAAAAGTTAATCTGCTAACTTGAAGATTCGTTAGCAGATACTAACTGATATCCAAAATACATGAACTAGTATCCAAGTACTAAAGTATCTAAAGACCACAGACTAGTATTCAAAGTTTGCTAACTGATATCCACCATGAATCAACTATTATCCCAAATTCACAAAATAATATCTAGACAATACAGAATAGTATCCATATAGCTCATAATTAGTATCCAGATAACACATAAGAGTATCCAGATAATATATAAGAGTATCCATATTGAATACTAGTTGGTTGTTTGTGGATATTAGTTGGTATATGCTATCTTGATACTAGTTTGTGATGTTTTGAATACTAGTCTGTGCTTTCTAGATACTCAGCAGACTTGGATATTAGTTCATACATTTTGGATGTTAGTTAGTATATACTAACGAATTTTCTAGTTAGCAGAATAACTAGGCTGGATTTAGGAATTGAGAATTGATATGTAGATCATTTGGATGCAACCTATTGAATATGTGGTCCCATGGTGATTAGCAAGCACAACACTCATGTGCGACATTTCAACTTCAGACCTATCAGCATTTTAAATCAATGTGTTGCATTATTCTTAGAATGTGACATTTCAACTTCGAATTTTTTTTACATAAATATCACTATTTTTTTTTCTTCAAAAAGATCACTCATGTGCGGAAAATTTCAAAAATACCATCCTTTCTCGAAAATCGTTGGGTGGGGCACGATTTTTTCGACGAAAACTGCATGGGGTCGGGACAGTTTGCTACTTAATATTTTTTTTCCGCATAATGACCATAATTGATCCTGGTACAATTAGATTAGTTGTTTCTCTGTGTGCAAGAAGACCTAGGTTAAAAACACCATCATCCCATTAATTTATTTATTTATTTAGTAGAGATAAAAAAGAAGAATGTTGTGGTGGTTAGAACCCAGATAATAAACAATTAACTACATTCAACACAACATCTACACCACCAGACTACAACTCTTTTGTTGAAACAATTTTGCACAAGTACATACGTTCGGATTCCGGAGCACAAAGTTATGGACGATCAAAGTTTGGCAAAATCGGAAAAAAGCCTGTTCGATGTAGCAAACGTCATTTTTCGGGACGAAGGCAGGACCACACCGACACCGCCTGCGGCCTTTGCGGCTTGCAAAATCTTGAAAAGTTAGGCGGAATCAAAATAAATTCGCTGCGATCGGATACCCGAATGCAAAGTTAGGTTCGTTTGAAGTTTCGGCCGAGGTTAGGAGTTGATCGAAAAAAAAAATTTGGACCAAACCGCTGGGTGGGGGGCGGTTTTGTACCAAACCGCTTCGAACCCAAGCGGTTTTCAAAACCTCCCCGTAACCATGCGGTTTTCATCGAAAACCGCACCCCCACCCAGTGATTTTCGTGTAAACTGCAGGGTGGGGTGGCGGTTGTCAAAGAAGGGTGGTATTTTTGGAATTTTTGGGGTGGTGGTATTCTTGTAATTTTTCTTTTAAACAGTGGTATTTCTGGAAAAAGTCCTTTCAACTTCTGTGTGATAATTGGATTCTAACCATCTTATTTAGGGAGTTACTAATTACCGCACTAAATTTCAAAATCCATCGCCCTAAAATGTAGTGAAACTACACATTCGCCCCTAAACCATCGCCCTAAATCGTTCATCTCGCTTTGCTCCGCCGGTCGCCGCCGCCGCCGCCGTTGTGCTTCCTCACCCAGCAGGCTCTGCAAAAACCTTCAAGTCTGCGAATCAATTGTCTCCTCTTCCTCCGACGTTGTGCTTCCTCATCCAACAGGCTCTGCAGACCGCCGACCCAACACGCCGATCCTCTCGTCGTCAATCTCTGAAATTTGATTCCACCCCCGAGAAGCCATATCAGCAATCGGCGAGGAAGGAGAAGGAGAGGAGCTCGAGGAGAAAGAAATTAATAGAACCGTGGACGCGAGGATTTCTCCCTGACGTCTCCTGACCAAACACCCTTCGCCGTGTATTTTATGTTTTTGCTTTCTGTCATTTGGTAAGGAAATTAGAAATCCTCCAATGCTCTGAGTCCCATCATCCGTCTGAGTGGGAGCCCGATCGACATTACCAATTTCCTATCCCGATTGACATTTCCAATTTTCTATCCCGACGACAGGATTAAAGCAGGACATCTGCTTTAATGATGTTCCACGGAGAAAGGGGAACTCCAACAAGCCTTTATCAATCATTTTCGTGCAAGGTTTACTGAGCTCGAGAAGGATAGACCTTTCCCGGTTGATTTCAAGGCGACTTTAATCAATCAAGAGGAAAACCTCAACCTCACTGTCCCCTTCACAGAAGCTGAAGTTTGGAGCGCAATCAGTTCGTGTAACGGGGATAAGGCACCGGGACCAGATGGTTTTACCCTCGCCTTCTTCAAGAAATCGTGGAACATCATTAAAGCAGATGTCCTGAAAGCCTTTGACGATTTCTACCTCAGCGGTGTTTTACCGCATTCTGTTGCACACTCTTTCGTGTGTTTGATCCCCAAGAAAGAAGCGGTTGAAGAAGTGAAAGATTTCCGGCCAATTAGCCTCATTGGGAGTATGAACAAAATTATTTCAAAGGCTGTCTTGGCTAGGTTACAGCGGGTCTCGCACAAGTTTGTCTCGAAGTTTCAGTTTGCGGGAAAGAAGAAGAAAATAATTCATGAGGCTAGTTTGATTGCTAACGAAGCAATTGACAGCAGGAAGCGTAGTGGAAAGCCGGGGATCATCTTAAAACTTGATATTGAAAAGGCATTTGACTCAGTTAGTCGGGAGTGCTTGAGGCGAATCTTGAGAAACATGGGTATGAATGTGAAGCTTGAAAAGTGGATTATGGGGCTGGTTTCTTGTTCAAAATTTTCTGTTCTTGTGAACGGTGAAGCGGCAGGTTTTCTTAGCATGGAGCGTGGTCTTAAGCAGGGAGACCCACTCTCTCCTCTTCTATTCAACATCGTCATGGACGTCTTCTCCTTTATAATTGAAAAGATGCAGGAAGAGGGTCTCATCGCTGGGTTCCATCTTGACGAAATGAACATGAGAGGGCAGGTGTCTCATTTGTTGTATGCTGATGATGCTATTGTTTTCTGCAATGCCTCGAAAGAAGAAGTGTTTAATGTTATGGCTGCCCTCTTATGCTTTCAATCCATCACAGGCCTCAAGATCAACCTTGATAAGAGTAAGCTGTATCCGGTTGGTGAGGTGGATAACATTGAAAGGCTGGCTGGGATTCTTGGATGTGATTGGAGCTATCTTCACACGGTGTATCTGGGGCTGCCCTTAGGTGCTAAGCCTACATCCACAGCTATTTGGGAACCAATTCTTCTGAAGATGCAGAAGAAGTTAGAAGGGTGGCAGGGTAAATATCTATCTTTAGGCGGTAGAATAACGTTGTGTAATGCAGTCTTAGCAAGCCAACCGCTTTATCAGTGCTCGCTTTTTAGTGCACCAGCTTGCATAATTGAGAAGGTTGAGAGAATTCAGAAAGAGTTCATCTGGACAGGTGGGAGCCAAGAGAAAAAGATGCATTTGGTGTCTTGGGAGACTTGTAAAAGGCCTAAGAAAGTCGGTGGTTTGGGAATTGTTGATTTGAGGACGCGTAACAAAGCCTTGTTAGCAAAATGGCTGTGGAGATTTGCTTATGAAAGAGAGGAATGGTGGAGGGAGCTGATCGGCATTAAGTTCCCTCATAAAGCATCAGAATGGAGCACGGGTGAGACTAGTGGATCGATGGGTTGCAGCCCGTGGTCTCAAATCCAGAAACTCTCGAAGGATTTTTGGAAATTAGCTTGGGTGGATCCTGGTAGTGGGGCTTGGACTTCCTTCTGGTACGACGTGTGGATAAAAGGTCAACCCCCTCTTGCCAAAGTCTTTCCAAGGATCGTCGCTGCTTCTGCCTCGCCGTGCTGTCGTATTGCTGATGTCTTGCATATTGGGGAGAGAAATCTTTCTTGGGATATACATTTAAACTATAATCTTAGAGGTGGGGCTGAGGGTGAGAGATCTGCTCTTTTAAATTTTCTTCAAACTATCCCTTCCACTTTGTTCTCTGCAGGTCCATCAAGAATAACTTGGGAGCCGTCCCCGAGCACCGGATTCAGAGTAAAGTCCATGTATGACTCGCTGTTTGGTGAACAATACAGCAGTGGAATTGTGTTCCCTGCTAACTTTGTTTGGAAGCAGCCTGTGCCGTTCAAAGTCTGTGTGTTTGTTTGGTTAGTGTTCCACAAGAAGATTCTAACTCAAGACATGCTAAAGAAGCGAGGATGGATGCTCCCAAACCGGTGTACCCTTTGCTACGAAGAGGAAGAGAATGCGGATCATCTTTTCTTGGGTTGCAGGTTCTCGCGTATGGTGTGGCAAGTAATGAGGCGTTTTGTGATGCTTCCTATTAATCGTGATGGGGATATATCTGTTCTAATCGGTAGGTGGCAGCAAAAGGAGCCTGGTTGTCCTCGAGAGTGGTGTTCCAGGGTGTTTGTGCACGCCCTGTGTTGGCGACTCTGGTTGGAAAGGAATGGTAGGAT